GGCGTCCCTGGGCTTGTGGCCGCATCACTCCAGTCTCTGCCTCCGTCTCCACGTGGCCTCCTCCTCTGTGTCTGTGTCTCCTCTTCTGTCTCTTACAAGGACACCTGGTATTGCATTCAGAGTCCCACCCTACTCCAAGATGATCCAAGATGATCTCACCTCCACCTTCTTAACTAATTACATCCGCAACGATCTTAGTTCCAAATACCATCCGTCCCAGACAGACGTGAGTTTTGGGGACCCGCCTTCCGCCTTCTCCTGTGTCTGTGTCTCCTCTTCTGTCTCTTACAAAGACACCTGTCATTGCATTTAGGGCTCACCCTACTCCAGGATCATCTCATCTCTGGATCCTTCTCTTAGGACAAACACCCTATTTCCGAATAAGGTCCCATTCACCGGTTCTGGGAATTAGGATGTGGACAGAGCTTTTAGGACGACCACAGTTCCATCCACTACAATTATATCCAGTTCCCTCTGGAGGCTCTAGGGGAGGATCCTTCCTGCCTCTCCCAGCTCCCGGGGGCTCCCGGCGTCCCTGGGCTTGTGGCCACATCACTCCACTCTCTGCCTCTGTCTCCACGTGGCCTCCTCCTCTGTGTCTGTGTCTCCTCTTCTGTCTCTTAGGACACCTGTCATTGCATTTATGGTCCGCCCTAATCCAGGATCATCTCATTTCTAGATCCTTCTCTTACGACAAACACCCTATTTCCAAATAAGGTCCCGTTCACCGGGAATTAGGATGTGGACAGAGCTTTTAGGACGACCACAGTTCCGTCCACTACAATTGTGTTCACTTCCCTCTGGAGGCCCCAGGGGAGGCTCCTTCCTGCCTCTCCCAGCTCCCGGGGGCTCCCGGCGTCCCTGGGCTTGTGGCCGCGTCACTCCAGTTCTGCCTCTTAGCAGGACACAGGTCGTTGCCTTAGGGCCCACCCTAACCTAGGATGGTCTCTTGAGATCCTACAAAGAGCATATTTCCAAATCAGGTCCCATTCCCAGGTTCTGGGACTTCGGATGTGCAGGGGCGTCCCTGAGCCCCACTCCCAGTGACGTCCCGGGCCGGGCCCCGGTCGGAGGCCTCCGTAGTGCTCAGGCCTTGCCTTTCTCCCCGAGTCACGGGAAGCCCTCGTCGGCCTCACAGGGTGGACGCCCGGAGGCGAGATCCCGTTCCGCCGAGCAGAGCCCTTTCTCATGGAACGGGGCAGCGTCGGGCCGCTGCTGGGGAAGGCGGCCGGGCCCCCAGATGCGGGAGCGGGAGCAGGCCCCGGGCCCTCGCGGACGCTCGGCGGCACCCCCCGCCCTTGCGTGGCTCACGCCTCCCCGTCTTGGCTGCTTTTAGGAGAGTCCTTCCTGCAGGTGCAGCAGCGTCTCCTGAGAGAGAAGGAGGCCAAGATCCGGAAGGCCCTGGACAGGCTTCGTAGGAAGAGGCACCTGCTCCGGCAGCAGCGGGCGAGGCGGGAGTTCCCCGTGGTCTCCGTGGTGGGGTACACCAACTGCGGTGAGCACCCCAGGGAGGACTCGCCCAGGGAGGGGGTCCCCGGTGTCCGCGTGGGGTGCACCAGGGCTATGGTGAGGACGCCGTCTACCCCGTCCTCCTATCCAGAGCTTTACCACCTCGTCTACACCACAGGCTTCCCTCCGTCTACACCGTCCTCCTGTCTACACCATCAGCACTGCCCCATCTATACCACCACCATCTACATAGTCCACCTGTCTACACCAATGTTCCCTTCGTCTACACCGTTCTCCTGTCTACACCATCACCACTGCCCCGTCTGTACCACCACCCTGTCTACACAGTCTACCCGTCTACACCACAATGTTCCCTTCGTCTACACCGTCCTCCTGTCTACACCATCACCACTGCCCCGCCTATACCACCACCCTGTCTACACCACAGCATCCCCTTCGTCTACACCGCCCTATCTACACCATCACCTCCCCTCTGTCTACACCGTCCTCCTGTCTACACCATCACCACTGCCCTGTCTATACCACCACCGTCTACACAGTCCACCTGTCCACACCACAATGTTCCCTTCGTCTACACTGTCCTCCTCTCTACACCATCACCTCCCCTCTGTCTACACCATCCTCCTGTCTACACCATCACCCCTGCCCCGTCTATACCACCACCCCGTCTACACAGTCCACCCATCTACACCACAGCGTTCCCTTCGTCTACACCATCCTCCCAGCCACAGCAGCACCACCCCGTCTCTACCATCCCACCATCTACGCCATTGCCAGATCTACCCAGACGACCCCACGCCCATCCACGCCTTCTCACACACACCGTCTGCACCGCCAGCTGCCCTGTGCCCGCACCGCGGCCCTGCTGCGTCGGCCTGAGAGC